CAACTGTCCTCATTATATTAAGGATGGATACTTCCTGGACAGTGCTCATATACACACCCTATGTGGTAGCTGGTACTCCTGCCCTCCCTGTACACACACATTTTTGTGGGTCTTCTTGTTTCTCCACGTGGGCATCACTTGCTACTCTCTGTCATTTGGCACAAGTATAGGCATCCTGACAATCTGGTGACTGCAGAGTCAGGACACAGCTCAGGAGTCTTCCCTGAGGCTCACTCTTCCCATTTCCTGCAGCCTGACCTGGGGAGTCTCTGGTGTTGATTGGTGGCATAATGTGGCCAGATTTAGTCCTGGCCACCTGGACACCTTCTCCACGTGGCCTGTCCTAACCCAGCGGGGGTCAGAGAAGAGCTCAGAAAAACGTCACTGCGTGAGCTGGGAGCAGACCAGGGAGCAGAGCTCCGAGATGCTCATCCTTCCTCTGAGGGGATTTTCTGCTCTCATTTGGGGAAGAAGCATGAGCATGTTTTAAAGCCTGGTATTTTCCAGGTAGGTAAAAGAAAACAAAAAGGTGAGAGACAGACAAGTTCATGACACAGAAAAGCCACTTGACCTTGGGGGCCCTTCTTCCTCCCCCCTGTGGAAGCCCCTCCCACTATCTGGGGCTCTCTGGGGCCGAGGGCACCCCCTTCCCCCATTCTAGGCTGGACCCAAGGTCAGAGGTGAGAAATCAGAGTAGCCAGGGGAAGAGAGCGTCTGCAGAGACAGAGGGGAGGGCTCAGGGGAGAACCTGGGACTTGTTTGAACCCGGGACACAGGCTGAGAAAGAAAATTCCCTTATGGCTCATCTCTGGACAGCAGGCACACTCCATGCCAAAACTTAAGCCTGTCCTCCAAGGACTCACTTACCAGAGACTGTGATAGTCTTGACCGTGGTCCCATTGCGGCCAGTGGCAGAGTTCTGGGCGACACAGGCATAGGATCCGCTATTATTCACAGTGACACTGGCAATAAAGAGCTCTTGTGTGGCTTGCTGGGGCCTCCCATCGATAAACCAAGAATACTGTGCAGGTGGGTTAGAGTCCGAGTGGCAGGAGAGGGTGAGGTTTGCCCCGGGACGGTAATATGATTCTGGGGGGGAAATGGTGGGGACGTCGGGGCCATCTGGACAAAGAGAATAAAGCCACATGTGATGTCATCAGAGGGAAGGAGAAGCTCTTGGTCTGCATCCCTCTGAATCATGTTACAACCTTGTTTAAAAAGTTGCCTCCTGACTGGGCGTGGTGCCTCATGCCTGTAATCCCAGTGCTTTTTGAGCCAAAGTGGGAAGATCCTTTGAGGCCAGGAGTTCAAGACCAGCCTGGGCAGCATAGGAGACTCTATCTCTACAAAAAACTAATAAAACTGATTGGGTGTGCTCATGGGCATCTGCAGTCTCAGCTACTCAGGATGCTGAGGCAGGAGGATCGCTTGAGCCCAGGAGTTTGAGGTTACTGTGAGCTATGATCTTGTCAGTGCACTTCAGCCTGGGCAATAGATTAAGACCCTATCTCTTTTGTTTGCAGTTTTTGGCTGGGGCTAGGCTTGAACCCACCACCTCCGGCATATGGGGTCGGTGGCCTACTCCTTTCAGCCACAGCCGCTGCCCTATCTCTTTTGTTTGTTTTGTTTTTTGAGAGAGAGTCTCACTGTATCTCCCTTGGTAGAGTGCTATGGTATCACAGCTCACAGCAACTTCAAACTCTTGGGCTCAAGAGATTCTCTTGCCTCAGTCTCCCAAGTAGCTGGGACTATAGGCACCCA